TACCTTCGTGAGATCTCACAAAAGATGTCAGGCCTGAAGAAGAAGAGACAGCAAGGTCCTGGGTTACAGATGCTGCTACTCTTATTTGATGGGTCTGCAGCTCTGCAATCTGCACGTTGATTTTTGAAATAAAACGACTGTGAAGTGTTGAGCCTAATTTTGAGGGTAGTTGTTTTAGTAGGTAGTTATACCTGTTTTATACCTAGTCCCCCTAGCAATCCAAATACATTGGACACATTTAGATCAAATAGGGTGATTATATTTATAGTTAGGTCACAATTAGGTTCTGTGTAGTCAATGATAGTCTTACAACCCATATGCTTGGGCAGATACTTGGTCTCTTCCCTGTTGATGCTCTCTACCAGACCGATACTGCACGCACTTTCACTTTTTGCTTGTTTCTGGGAATTTTTCCTTTAGTTCGGAAATTCAGGGTGTGAAATGTATGTTCAGTTGTGTTCAGATGAGTCGATAAACATGGACAATGTCCGTTTAAAAACCCAGTCATTAAAGTTGTATTAAATGCGCTGTGAGTCTTACACATGAGGCAACGTTGCTGTGTTCATGGTAGTTAACCTTCTTAATTCTTCTGAAGGTGTGGCTACCATCATAATCTTCCCTTTATATGGTGGAGAGAATTCCCCTCTGGCTTGATGGACTCGATCCACTAACACTCCCTTGTAGTGGCTTTTGTAGAGCAAGGTTATTAAAAAAGGCTGTGTCTGTGTGTGTGTGTGTGTGTGTGTGTGTGTGTGTGTGTGTGTGTGTGTGTGTGTGTGTGTGTGTGTGTGTGTGTGTGTGTGTGAAAGAGGGAGTAGTAGAACTGAGGGCAGTAGCCAGCACCACGCCTTAATCATAGAATGTAACTGTAGCACTGACTGTTAAGGGCTCAGCTTCACTTTACTTACACAGTCTGTCCAGATCAAATCGGGGACGGAGAGCTCAAGCACATTTATCTTAGAAATTTGTATTTATGTTGCTAGACTAAGGTGGTTCAGAGAATGACCAAATACAAAGTTGATGTAAAATTCACTTTTAAATAACAATTTTACATGAGTTTTTTCAGTCTAAAATAAGTGTGTGCAGTGTTACAACTGGTCGTACTCATAGGCAACTGCTGCAAACCATGTTTATTGCATAGAGGAGACAAACTGACCTTTATAACATTTCCCCTACAGAAATGGTACAATAGAAATGAACAATTGAACCTATGCTAATGCTGCGTTCACACCAAACGCATCGCGAATTATTCGCGCGAGTAGATTACATATAAAGTCTATGCACAGACGCAATGAGACTGGCACGGTGCGAATTTGCGATGGCGCGGCGCGATTGACGCAAATTCGCGTCCAACGCCAAATCGCCCCAAACGCGTGAGTTGAAATTTTTCAACTTCGGCGAAATATTCCCATTACGCCCCGGCGCGATAGCCTATCAGCATTTCTCCTGTCATCACTGACTTCCTGCCGTTGTTGAATCAGGAAATAAATGCTGTAGCCGTCTGTGTTCACCCAGAGCTCTACGATACCTCATATCAATAGAGACTGGACCAAACTGTGTATAAATGTGTGTGTGTAAACCATATGGTACAAACAATGAATAGACGCTGCCGTATTTAGGTCTACATGACGTTATTCTGAGTGTTGGTGGAGCTGCTACAATGTTAGCATAGCCTAGCACCGATCCATCTGAGCTCCATTGAGAAGACAAGTAGCCTACAAATCGGCATCATTACGTAGTTATTTCGGAGTCCCTTTTTGTCGGTTTATTGCCGTTAAATCACAGCCAAATCAGTTTATTTTGTGTTCATACAGCTGTAGTAAACAGCGACGTGTGGCTTGCTAGACACAGTGAATACACCTCGATAACATCCACGGTGCTCTTCTGGACAATATTATGAACCCAGACATGACGGCGTTTAGTTTCCCGGGATATCTGTGACTTCCACAACACGTACTAAGCAGAAATAGAGGTTATTTTTTCCATGATTAATGGCGGACAGTTGAACGGCTTTCAGGGCGATAAGCCACGCCCCCTCTCCGGCGCAATTCGCGTGATTCGTGCAAATGAACACAAATGGTCCCCGGCGAGACCGGCGGCGCGAATGGCGCGAATGGCGCGAATGGCGCGAATGACGCGAATACGCGGCGCAAATTCATCTCGCCGCAGACAGGCCAATCATAGCGTAGCATCGGCTAGTCAATTGGCCCCATATGTGAAAGCATTTTATTAGTAGAAGATTCATTGGAGATAAAACAAAATTCGGCTTTGTCACAAATTAGGTAATCTACAATACTAGATGTTAACAAAGCTATTTCCCCAGTCAGTTTAGAGGTTCTGTTTTATCAGCCATTCACAGTCAGCTGATCTGTCAGCTGTGAACTGAAACTGGTCGCACCCACACAATTACATTATCAATGCACACCAACGAAGCCTTAATGCACTGCACAACCAGTGCACTATAAGAACTATAGTGGTACAAACTGGCAATTGCCAAAATTATTTTTACAAAAAGAATAGCTATATTGAAAGGTCTAATAAACTGCAGGTGATTCTGGCATCATAAAACGAAACAGTCAACAGAATATCTACAAGATCAAATGCAACATCATGTCACTCCAGCAGGCCTCACTGCTTAGCAGCAGATTATTCAGGTGTCCCGTCTCCTTAGGACTTCACCTTCTTTTCATGTTTCTCCACACAGGTAAGGGTTGATTGTTGTTGGCACTTATTAATGCACGTCCCATTCCTCCGTTTTGGCAATAGGTAGTTGCTTGAAGATATTCAACTGAGTATCGTACAATGAGCTTTGGCTTACATTAAGAAGCCCTGGTGCACTTGTAATTGAATATAACTCTAAATAAACCCAACACAATACGAGAGAAACCTTTCCAACAGATTATGAGTGTAAAACAAAGTGAGACGTGACATTGTGTTCTACAAAGTGTATCTCAATGGGCTTGACTCGTCGACTTGACCACTGAGGTGTGGCACATTGTGCCAAGTCAGACACCAGATACAGTGTCTGTTACAAATTACAACCCTCTATGATACAAGCACTGTACCAATTGGCATGAAGAGCAAGTATTGCACTCAGAAACCACTCATCCTCGTTTAATTACACTGTGTTCTCTGCAGTTCCCCTTGCCAAGTTTCAGTAGAGTAAACTCCCATCTCAAGGCTGGTTCTCACAGAGAAAAGGAGCTTGTGAACATTCCATGACATGCGCTGACTAGAATGCCTGAAATGTCACCTGTAATGTCATGTGAGATCAAATACAATCCTGTAGCAGATTTGTGGGTGGTACTGCCTAAAAGGAAAGGTTAATAAGCTTACATTTTATAATCTAATGTCTTTCCGTGGTATGCATTGGTGATGGTTATTGTGATGGCTGCTGAGTTTTTCTGCAAAGGTTAAACATGTAATTGTTGAGGCCCTCATTTTAACACATCAATTATTGTTTTTGCAGCAGGGATATGTTCAACATAGGGCTACTATATATGCAGACCAAATATGCAAACATTTTTATCGCTTTATATTGTTTACACTTCTACATCAAATCCTATGTGCTTGAAGTTGTGGACAAATGAATCGTCAGAGTAAAGGCCTTTGTACACCAATTCCATTTTTTACATTTATGTTTTGTAAATCAAATAGTTATGCACAGAAACAGAGTCCAACGCATTTTATCATCCTTTTTGTTCGCAATACGAAACAAAATGGAGTTGTGAAGCAATGAGGATGGATCTTCCCAAACTAAAGTGGTGGGAGTCAATGGCCCCTTCCCCACTTTGTTTGGTGATCAGTTCCGACTATCCATCTGGAGTTGAAGTGAGTTGGCTAATGCGGAAAAAGGCATAAAATAAAACCTGTTCCGAGAATTTTAATGACCGATGAAAGTTTTGGTGTCGGTGTGTAAGCGGTATTGACACGTGAGGTCATATTTATTCTTAACCATGGGACAAATTTGGACAAAAAATACATGTCCCCATTCACCTCTGTTTTAAGACATTTTTCGTGCTCTGTATGAGCTCTACTCGATGTGCATCTATTGAGTTCCCTGCAGGGAACCTCCTGCAAAACCAGTTTCCTCTGAAGGGTTAATAAGGTGTTCATTCTCTTCATGTTAATACTAAATCTAAAACAACTTTTACTTTTGGTGCCATTGTTTGAGGAAGTGAAAGTGAACCCCCAACCACAAAAAAGTCAACACCACCAACTATTTCTTGAATTGAATTCAGCTTTATTTTTATAGTCCAACGTGTCATGTTTATGTCACTGAGTCTAACTCCATAAAAAGTCCCAGATTATATTCATCAAACATGCTTTGATACCCCATATGTTCTGTTCTCTGATACAGATATTCCAAACTCCGTGAAGAATTCTGTCAATGTAATGTTTTCATGCTTCTTGACATATGTATACGAGAGAGTATGAGGTAATGCAACTCATTTTGAGTATGGAACAATGTGTAGGAATCTCTGGACTAATGCATTGAGACAATGTGTTTACATGCATTCATTCAAACATATGCTTTGACAACAGCTGGTCACTTGTTCCACAACTTCAGTGAGATTTTATCAATAGAAACTTCATTGATAACACCTTCATATTTATTGACCTTGCAAGATGTGGAGAAGTAGAAACTGGTGGATCAGTGAGTATACAGGTCCCAAACCTTGCAGGACACCCCAAGCAAAACTAGTAAAAATGTCTTTGCAAACAAGTCTTCATCCACAATCTCAACCACGGCTCTGCTGCCATTCTTCTGCGAGCACCTAGGTGTTGTCGAGCCCCGATCGCTTTACAGGGGTGGCACTGTTACCTGTCTGACAGGCTGAGCTGCTCCAAGCCAATCCACCTGCCTGCAAGTCCCCCTTCCAGGATACAGGTAATTGGAGGAGGGTTGAGGGGCGGGTGCAGAGAAGGTGGAGCTCACTGGGACCTCCTCCACAGTTGAAGGCAGATAAAAATCCATCACGGACAGGGAGAAGATACTTAGAGGGACTTGACTCTCCTCTTCGTGTGCTCTGCCAAACCTCTCTTTCTGCTCCCCTTTTTCTCTGTGAATCCTTCCCTTTCAGAGGAACTAAAACCAGCCATGGCGAGAAATTACAGTGCAAATTCCATGAGGAGCATGAGTACCTACGGCAGCGGCGGCGGTGGTGGCGGTGGTGGTGGTGGTGTTAACCGATCGTATACCACAAGATCGATGATTTCCAACAAATCTCAAAGGGCGTCAACCGGCATGTCAATGGGTGGTGGTGGAGGTGGTGGTGGTTTTGGTGGTGGAGGTGGTGGTTTTGGTATTGGTTTTCGGAGTGGAGGTGGTTTTGGAGGTGGAGGTGGTAGTTTTCGGAGTGGAGGTGGTTTTGGAGGTGGTGGTGGTGGTGGAGGTGGAGGCAGTGTTTTAGGCTTCAGCTACGGTGGTGCTTTTGGCGGTGGTGGAGGAGGCGGTGGAGGCATGCCGAACATCACAGCTGTCCAGTGCAACCAGCAGCTGCTGGCCCCAATGAATGTTAACATCGACCCCAACATCCAGACCGTCCGGACCCAAGAGAAAGAGCAGATCAAGACTCTAAACAACCGCTTCGCCAGCTTCATTGACAAGGTGAGCTGCCCTTTGTACAACGCCATTAGAAAAGAACGCTGAAAAGCTGCATTTACATTGACCATGAAATGTCATAAATATGTTTTGAATGTGACAACTGTAATTTGGTTGAACAACAGATGTTGATTATCTGATGCACTGCACAGTGCCCACAGTAGAGAGCGACAGCACAGCGGATTACGTCTGGAGCAACCCTGCCCCGAGGGGCATTTTAATATGGCAGCTGCCAGCACTGCTGCATACAAGAACCTTTTGTGTGGGTAAGTCACACACAGGTGTGGCTCAATGGATCACCTGAGGAATGTAAAACAAAGACGACAAACGTCTTTTATCGCCTCACAGTGAGCGTGTCTAATCATGAAGAAAAGCGACTTCTTTGCCTTTTTTATTTGCAGTTTGCTGAAAGTGATGAAGTGAAAACAGGCGTTGCCAAGCACAGAAATATATCGATGTGGAATATGTAATCTGATTAATGTGGTCTTGCCATCAAAGCGTTACTTTCCGCCAAGTGAAAGTGGATCTAAACATGAAACGATTTCCCCATTTTAGGTCCGCTTCCTGGAGCAGCAGAACAAGATGCTGGAGACCAAGTGGAGCCTGCTGCAGGAGCAGACCACCTCCCGCTCCAACATTGACGCCATGTTCGAGGCCTACATCGCCAACCTGCGCAGGCAGCTGGATGGACTCGGCAATGAGAAGATGAAGCTGGAGGGAGAGCTGAGGAACATGCAGGGCATGGTGGAGGACTTCAAAAACAAGTGAGTTAACACCTGCACAACCTTTTCGAAAAGCAACAGCCGAACTGCAGCGGTTGATGCCCGCAGTCTCTTTGTCCATCAGCTAACTTTTTCCATTGTTTTTGTGTCAGATATGAAGAAGAAATCAACAGGCGTGCCGGCGTGGAGAATGAGTTTGTTCTCCTCAAGAAGGTGAGAGTTGAGCTCCACCATGTTATTAACTGCAGTGGAATAAGTTATTGCCTTTTCCTCTGACCAGTCACCAATACCGACCGCTTCCTTGTCCTCTGCTTGCAGGATGTAGATGGTGCCTACATGAACAAGGTTGAGCTGGAGGCCAAGGTTGACTCCCTTCAGGATGAGATTAACTTCCTCAGAGCTGTCTACGACGCGGTAAGAAAAAGTTGCCACACCACAGTCCTATTATGTCTGTTTCTTTGCTCTTAGTTATTTTTTAGAAGCCATTGAATGGCACAGGTGGGCACAGATACAGAAGAGAAATAGATGTCGTACTGCCTTTACTCTCTAACCTTCTAATTTAATTTTTTTAAGTGACATATATCTTTTGTGCAGGAACTGCGTGAGCTCCAGGGACAGATCAAGGACACCTCAGTCATCGTGGAGATGGACAACAGCCGCAACCTGGACATGGACTCCATTGTGGCCGAAGTCAGGGCTCAGTATGAGGCCATCGCCGCATCCAACCGTAGAGACACTGAACAGTGGTATCAGCAGAAGGTCAGTAGAGAGAGAAAGTAATCTCAACAACAACTCCAGTATGAAACACATCCTGCTAGACAAGTCTGTGTAGAGTCTCTAATAACAACATATATATGTTTTTTTTTTTTCAGTACCAGGAGATGGAGGTGAATGCAGGCCAGGCCGGAAATGACCTCCGCAGCTCCAAGACTGAGATAGCTGAGCTCAACCGCATGATTAGTCGCCTCCAGAATGAGATTGAGTCAGTCAAGGGACAGGTTAGCTAAAAGTTACATACATTTATTTGTTATTTAAAAAAAACAAATGGTGACGATGTAGAAGGGTTTTTGGATGACAAATATCGCTTCTGCTAACTTTTAAACCTCGCAGCGCGCCAACCTGGAGGCCCAGATCGCTGAGGCCGAGGAGCGCGGTGAGCTGGCCGTGAAGGACGCCAAGGCCCGCATCAGGGACCTGGAAGAAGCCCTGCAGAGAGCCAAACAGGACATGACCCGCCAAGTCCGCGAGTACCAGGACCTGATGAACATCAAGCTGGCTCTGGACATTGAGATCGCCACCTACAGGAAACTGCTGGAGGGAGAGGAGGACAGGTAAAACCGTAGCTGCTTGGAACTCACATGACGTCTCGTCTTCTGAAACACTAAGAGACTGCAATGCATCACATTGGGCAGGCAGCAACATCAGCAGCTAATATGGATCCTTTGTGTATCTCTTTGCAGAATCACCTCTGGCGGTGGAACTGCAACCATCCACATACAGAGCTCTAGCTCTAGCTCCGGTATGTATCAACATATATCTTTACAATTCACGTCATTTGTAAGCCAGTGCATGAAAATGTAAAAGTAGAAATGAGAAAGCTATCAGTTTGGCTGATAATTGAAACTTTAATTGAAACTCAAATTCCTCATCTGAAAATGTTTTATTCTCATCACCAGGTGGAGGCGGCTATGGTGTAGGCGGCGGAGGCGGCTATGGTGTAGGCGGCGGAGGCGGCTATGGTGTAGGCGGCGGAGGCGGCGGAGGCAGCTTTGGTGGCAGCGGCTTTGGTGGTGGCAGCAGCTTTGGCGGAGGTTATAGCGCCAGTAGCGGAGGAGGTCGCGGCAGCAGCTATAGCAGCAGTGGCGGCGGCGGCGGCGGCGGCGGCATCATCAAAATGAGCAGCACCAGCAGCTCATCGTCCCGCCGTAATTATTAAAAACAGCAGCCATCTTTCTCTCCATTCTTCGTCTTCTACCCTCATTTTCTCCTCCTCCTCATGTTCCCCTCTCCCTGGCAACCACTCATAAAAGCCTCCAAATATCCCCATCACCTCACTCCCTGGAGACACGGCAGCCTCAGAAACATCCACATTTGACCATTATTAGCAGGCAGATCCATGTAATGGAACATCTGTTTTTTTTACTGTGTTGCTACTCCCTCTGGCACCACATATTTACAGAGAGTCAAGTCGAGGCAGAGTAATTAGTGGACCAGAAACAAAGAGCAGCAGAAACATGAGTCAGCCCTCTCTTCCTTAGATCAGTCAGCCTGGCTGTCTTTTGGTTGCTGGATCCGCTGTCATGCAGACAAGAGGATACTTGTAGTGCCGTGACAGAGAATCCTCAAAAGGCAACAATACTTGCACACAAAATGTCAACAGCAGTTCTTACATTTGCACAGAAGGAGGTCAGGATGTTTATGTTCTTGCATTCATGAAGCACACATGACATAACTCCTCTTTTCTGCAAAGTCTCTTCAGTTGTCTTACATCTGTCATTTTGTTGTGTATTTTGATATCACATAAGCAGCCACATATAACACTTTCATAGTTGTTTGTTTGGGATCCTCTTTTCCTTCTCCTGTTCTGAGAGAAAATACTTTCCACTCTGAATGAAAAAGAAACCTGGATTAGGCTGACTGGGAGAACCAGATTCATTGTGAAATTTGTAACACCAAAAGGTCTGGAATAAATCTGATTTCATAATCATTTTGGCAGTTTGGTTTCCTCTTTTTGATTTTTGGTGTACTCAATACAAATAGTTTGGGTTTATGACAACGGTTGGCTTAGGCCTGGCATCAGATTCAGCTTTATTACCAAGTATGTGTACAATTACAAGGAATTTGACACTGCGTCTGTGTTGCTCTCAATGTACATGCACAGAAATATAAAAACTGCTAAAAAACAAAGATAACAAAGCTGAGCAAGAGTTAACATAAACATTTAGCCATTACTGACAAGTAGTGAAAAAGAGAAGAAACATAATGTATAAATGGATACAAAAGTCTCTTTTTTATATATATACATATGTATTAAACAACAACAAACAATGGCGACATCCATATATTTAACACACTTAGATGTTCTGTTTGCTTGTTTGCACTGTGGTTGTATGTGCCTGATGCACATATGTCTTATATTTCTCATTCCTTATTTATTATTTACCGATATTCTCCACGTATATTGATTATGTATTGTAAAATTATGAAGATGATTTACATTTTGCATTGTCCTTTGTTGGCATTTGATGTTCTTTTGCTTCTATTTTTCTTATATCTTCGTAAGAGCAACTGTGACATAACAATTTTAGATTTTGGATTTTCCTTTCAAGAACAGGTCAAAACACATCCCCGTCCTCCACACAGAATCTTTGCTATGATATAGTGCTGCCCTCTAGTGATGATTCCATGACACCTTGTGCCTGTTGTGTTTTTAACCTCCATCCTTCTACCGTTCATCTGTAACATCATAATCGACAGCAACAAGTTATTTTCTACAACGTTTTATTTTGAAAACAATTGAGTGTGTTCCAGCAGTAAATATGATCGAAAAATAAAATCCCACATATAATTGCCGTCCATACCCTCTTTCATATCATGAATATGTTACACAAAAACAAACGCACAATTACTGTCCTTGTAAAGTAAGATACAATTTAACTAAGGAGATTTTCATCATAAGCCAGGATGATCTTTCTATTTTTCTTTCTAAACACACACACACACACACACACACACAGAGCGCACATCTTTGGTAATTGACTTGTCCCAACTGATATTTTCACACACATTTGTTTTACCATCTACTTTGCAGAAGTCAATCAAACACTTTGTAGAAAGCGAAAGTTTATCCTTGACTTTGGAAATTGATGTTTTATGAAATGATCTCAACGTTGGGTCCTTTCCATACTTTTTTCATAGCCTTGAACCTCGTCTCACTATCGCTAGATGGATCGATGATCTAACATTTCACAGAAATAAAGAAATGTGGAATGTTCTCCACATGAAAACCATGAGATGCAAGAGAAGTAAATGGACCTTGATCTAAGAAGTCAATATATTTGGCAGAAGACAGCATTTTATAATTCAGTGGTACAGTGTTTTTGACAGACTTCAACATGCAGGCCAACTGCTACTGCTGTCTGAATATCACAGAATAAAAACAAGCTTAATGAGAGCCTAACCTCTGTTTCATACTGTCCTCTACAGGCCACCGTACCAAGTACAGCAACCCTATGAAATGCATGTTAATCGTGATGCAATATCAGATGATTTTGATGTTGTTTTGTGTTCATTTGTCTGACAGTGTTGTTGGCCTTTAGAGAGGCGCCGGCCCATCACAGCGTCCTACATGGCTGTCTTACTGGGGTTGTCAGGGTCGAAGGTCATGATCTCCATGTGGATAAGACCTGATTGGATAAAAAACTAAGTAAGCAGTAGTTTAAATTTCCCATAAAAGCACTAAAACATAGATTTATTTTGAGGAAATATGGCACAGAGTCTCCTGAGCTTTCCCTTTTAATATACAGGGCATGGCAAAAACTTACTCTTCCACTCCCCGACGGCGAGCTCCAGGCTCTCGAAGGAGTCGTCGTAAGGCTCCGAGTCTGGCTCGCTCTCCGGGTCATGATATTCAGCCAGGAAAGGGTGCGACAGTCCCTGCTTCACTGTCAGCCTCGTCTCTGGGTCCAGCAGTAACATCCCCTCCAGAATGCCTACAGCTGGAAGCATCAAGATAGAAAACAATATGACACAGAAAATATGTATTTTTTTCAACCGTTACTTGGCTTGAATCTGAGGATCCCAGCTTTTTGACTCAAAAGTAATTTTTCAGTTAAATCTTTTCACTGACTAGAGTCATTAAAGGTCCACTGTGTAGGATGCAGTGCCATCTAGTGGCAAGGCTGCAGATTGCAACCGAATGAGAACCCCTCCTCTCCCCTTAGAGAAGCGCTGCCCGCTCCCTTTCGGTGACCACGGTGAATGGTAAATGGTCTTGATAGCTCTTTTCTAGTCTTCCGACCATTTAATGTGCGGTACACTACATGACAACATTCCCCCACACAATCATAAACTAATGCTCACTACCTCACACACCAAAAGCACAGCCTTTGGGAGCAATTTAGAGTTCGGTATCTTGCCCAATGACACCTCGAACCCCCGATCTTCCGATTAGCGGACGACCCAGACTCACAACCAGAGTCACCATGCAAAACCTATTGGGCTGTTCACACAGCAGCAATTTCTGCATCTCGTCTTTATTTATTAAGACTACTATAAACAATATAAATTGTATATTATATATAATATTAATTTTTACATTCAGGTAACATAAAAACACCAAAGGCTCTCCCTAGAGCCAGTGTTCGGTTTGTCCGTTCTGGGCTACTGTAGAAACGTGGCGGTGCGACATGACGGACTCGCTCGCTGTGTAGATATGAAGGACTCATTCTAAGGTAATGAAAACACAAGGGTTCTTAGTTTCAGGTGATTATGAAAACATAGTTATGAATATTATCTTCCATTTCTGCTAATAGATCCTCCTAATTCCTACATAACGGGCCTTTAAATGTTCTTATTGTTAAAAATCTATAATAAAGTATAATAAAGAATTTGCAACTACAATAAAGTTGCAGTTTGCATCCACGTCTGTCCAAAGTGTCATCACTTTGTCATTGTATCTCCTTAGACATTTGTACATCGACAATTGCAAAAATTAGCATATGAATTAATGAGTTATGGTCAAAGAAAATTCCGCTGAAGGCGTTCATGAGATATCATGAGGATGGAAAGGACGTGAGGTCAGTGACCTTTGCCTTTCCAAATCGAATCTGTTCGTCCTTCAGTCCAAGTGGACGTTTGTGCCAAATTTGTGGTATATTTCAATGAAAAAAAACAAAAATTTTACTTCAGTTTAAGTCGACAAACAGAGCCAGTTTAGCGCACCTTTTTCATCCATGGACGCAAACACTTCCTTGAAGTTTTTCTTCTTCTGCGGAGGAAGACCCAGCACGTACGACTGCGCCTGGAAAACAATTCAGTCCAAAGCACGAGCTTCAATAAATAACAGAACAGAACATGACACAAATAGTGAGGAGAGGCAAAATAAAACAAGGTACGTAGACAACACTTACATCCTTACTCTGCATCTTCTGTACCAGGGAGGAGTCTGGCGTTCCTGTCAGATGGAGGATCTTTTTCAGCTGGTCAATACCTGAACAGGCTGGTTCAGGAAGCCTCATAAATATATTAAAAATCATATTGTTGGTGGAGGGTAAGGATGGAAAGGCTCATATTGAATACAACAATAATCAAATATCTAGTTCATAAAATATGGAATATTAAGAGATACTCATCTAGTACTGTACTTCAACAAAGGTGGGGGGCAGTCGCCCCCTGCTGGTCAGTAGAGAGAATGCTGGTTTTAAGACACTTCCACATTGGCTTCACTCGGCAGAACCGGAGATTGCCGCCTGGTGAGGTCACAGTGAACTTTGACCACCGAATAAGTTCAACCTTGAGTCCAGGTGTTTGTGCAAAATTTAAATAAATTCTCCCCAAGGCTTTCCTGAGATAACAGAGAATGGACAGGACAGATGTAGTGCATGGACAACCTCTGCTGTCACAGAGGCAGAATGAAAATAGAGGGCAGATTTAAGGGCCGTGGGCCAGGATATCCTTTTATATAGGATATTACTTTTTTACTCCACAGTATGGGCCAAGCTTCAAGATCGACCAATAGCATAATTTACCGGAACCTTTCCTGGAAAAATCCTCACGTTTTTTTAAACTTCACATCTTTTAATAAAGGAGGAAAGTTACTGAGATAACCCTGATGATAAAATTATTTTCTTTGTTTTTTTCAACTGTTTTCATATTCAATTGGCAAGCAAATTTTGAGCAAACTTTTGAATTGTTGCAAAAAAAAAAGAAATTTCCATCAACTGGTTTGAAGTGAAACAAACTGTAAACAGAGTAGTAGAAGAAGTGAGGTCGCGAACCTCAGAATTTTGTTCCAGTCGAGCAAGTTTGAATTGTTCTTTCATGTCAGCTTAGTATCGTCCATGTTTCATGCTGGCCGGAGACGAAGACAAGCGTTCACGCGTTATGGGAATATCTGATAAGATTTCGAGCAGAAACAGCTGATCAGTCAGATTCTGATGTTTGTAATTGTGTGACTGTTTGTGAAACGTTGGAAATGGCGCACAAAAGAAAGGCGCATTTGCCGTGTTTCCATCAACGGGATTGGAGTTAAATGTGCGCCACATCAGAACTTATCCAGAACACTTTTTACACAATTGAATTGTAATGTGCAACTTCAAAATGCGAATAAAAATATGCAAATGAAAACACGGCTCAAGTAGTATTTCGCATGACCTTCACATGTAAAATCCTACAATGCTGCACCTGATTTCAAAAATGTTCTATATTTTGGGGGGCCCGGGGCAGTATGACTTGAGCGTACACAGCTTTATTACAACACCGCCAGCTGAATGTGTGAGGATACTGTCGTGTCCCGGGAAAAGCACCTGGCCAGTAATCATCTCAGCCAGGATGCAGGCGGCTGACCAGACATCCACTGTGAGCAGAGAGAATTTTAATAATAAAGAATGTAATACTTTGTCGTAGCTGCAATATTCCGTGATATTTTCAACAAACTGAAAACGACTTGCATGAAAGCGAGGTTACATTATTACCTGTTTGGCTGTAGTGCATCCAGTTGAATATGACCTCTGGTGCTCTGTACCAGCGCGTCACAACATAACCGGTCATTTCACTCTCCGTCTGTCGTGCCAGGCCAAAATCCAGGATCTGGGAACAGTTACAGTTTAGATTTCCATTTCTGTTGCATTTGATGTATCTCAGTTCAAGTGCATTGCAAGTCATGGATAGAAGATTAAAATTCTAAATAATCTTACATTTGTAGTCGGAATTCATCATCATCTTGACCTTAGGTATATCTTGTATTTCTTTTTTTTTTCTTTATTTTACCGTAAACGCTTTTACCTTAAACTTACCTTTAATTCACAGTTCTCATCCACAGCAAGGTTACCAGGCTTCAGATCCTAAAGTCCAACCACAAGCTTAAAATAATTAATAGCACAAAGTCTAAATACTCACTGAAATTAAAGAAAGTTAAAGCAATAGTTTGACATTTTGGGAAATACGCTCATTTGCTTTTTTTGCTGAGCGTTAGATGAAAACACTATAAACATTAATTTGCATGTTAAATGTGTTATACTAGTTAGCAGCCGCTTAGCTTAGCTTAGCATACAGAGAAACAAGGGGAAACAGTTAGGTAACAAAACTCACTCCAGAAGTCCTGTCCAGCCAACTAAGAACACACATCATGCAGCTACGTATATATGAGACATGTTTGGAGTTACTGGGAGACACATTTCCCCAGCAACCCAAGCTAGCAGGTCCCAGACCAGTTTGTCCACTGCAGACTTTAATTTCATATTAAACCTCCATCCAAGTCCCAGAAAGACAGCAAACGAGCCAACCCCTAAAATAAGACACCATTAGTGTCATAATTAATGTCATGACATCGTTTCAAAATGTAATCCCTTACTCTACTCTTTCAAAGACCGCATTGCTTAATCACGGGAAATCTGTACAAAATCATAAAATTGTGAAAAGCCAACTTGTGGTTCTTGTGGGGCATTATGGGTAGGATGGAGGGGTGGAGTGATTCCAGGAAGTTCCTAACTGTTCCCCCAAAAGGTGTGCTAAGCTAAACCAACTCCTTATAAATACTGTATGTATTTCAACTGGAAGGCCCACTGAGTAAATTGGTCGTTGTAGATTGTAAACTCAACATTCAAAGTTAGCCCCTCCTCCCCGGCACAACAAGGGAGCTAGCAGCTAGCGACCTGAGATGGCACCTTTCACTTAAACGCCTTTTTAAGCTACGGAGACCAAAACGGCAATTTTGTACCAGGCACTAAACATGTTTATTTCTACTATAAAGTTTGTAATTTTAACATTGCGGTCTCAACACATTGCCTCAAGTGGCAATTTGAGTAACTGCGATTTTTGGCACTTGAGTGTTGGCTTTTCTTTCTCAGCACACTCTCAGCCGCTTGGCAGATACAGACACCACCACACACTTCTAGTCAGTCATAAGTAATGATTGAGAGGGATTTTTACGAGTCTATACTTTGTTTTTTGGAGGAAAATCCTACTCATTGTGCCTTTAACTCTTGGCAAGAAAGCAAATGGGTATGATGTTGAATGTCAAAATGTCGAACTATTCATTTAAGTGTACAATTTAAAAATCACATTAATTATGAGTGGTAGTGTTTGAAAAAAGAAAGTAAATGGAACCAACCCGATGAACGATTCCTGCAGAATGAATATACTGCAAAGAAGAAAACAGATTTAAGCACACGGTATAAAACAGCACAAATGGACAAATTGCACACGCACAGAGTGTAGCAGAGCGGACCCACATGGATAATGGCCCTCTAAATGGCCCGGTGTGGACTTACGCATCACCAAGTGGATTGTGAGGGCTGTGTTTTGTGTATTTTCCAGCCCTCAGAGCAAATCCAGACTGCTCTCACGGCACAGAAGAGCGCTTAAACACACACACACACACACACAGATAAGAAGAGGAAAACATCTCGGGACCAAAGAACTTTGAAGCTTAATTCGAAGACAAAGGGGGCTTTTTACGAGAAGTTAGTCTTTCTCTCTGGTTTCCAACGTGCTTTCTCTTTCGTTTCCACTGGCCACTCGTAGTTACACATTGACTCGCGTTGCGTGGAAGGGCATAATTGAGGGTAAAGCAGTCAGTCAGTAAACTGAAAATGTTTTCCTTGATATGCCAGGAACACAGCTGACCTTGTGTATTTCAATGCATTCCTTCTGGAGTTGACAGGCTGCGACCTGCAGCACACAGCGGGGTGGTTTGCAGCAACATGTGAGGTCTGGGACCCTGGCCTGGCCTAAAAATGTAACTTTGGACCTCGCAGGTTGAGAGGTTTTTGTTCTTGGTGGGGCGTTCACTGTCAGGTGGATGTTGTACTATAGGCTGTCCTGGTGAAGAGGGAGCTCCAGGTTCTGGGATTATACTTTAGATGAGGGATCACCTATGATCATGGACTATGGGTTGTTACCAAAATGAATGACCAAAGCCTATGTAAGTGTTCAAAATGAGTTTGGTTTGCAGGCTGTCTGGTCTCTACTTTTGAAATAGATTGAAATAAGGAGCTAGCTATACCAGACAGAATAATGGGATGGAACTTTTAATTCACGGCTTTAGTTTTGATGGCATTTGAACTGCTGTCACTGCTTACATACTAGCCGACACTTTACAGTACACACACTTCAACTGTCCATGGTCTTTTGCCCACAACTGATATTTCATGTTTTCAGTGGATACACATCTATTTACACTTTAACTGCTTTCAGTGGCTTTACACATCAGTGATGACACTTCAGCTGATACTGCCAGCTCCAGGGTTTCGCCCGAAAAGTTGTTTGGCGTCGTGGCAAAGTATCTTTTCTGACGGGGGCCAGCGAAGGAACGATGGATTAAGCTAGGGCCCTATCATTTATGTGATGACAGAATCTCAAAAAATGTAGAATAGAAAAACTAGAGCACAGATTCCATGAGACGTATCAGTTGCCGACATTTTGGCTAGCGAGCTAAGGTTGATGGGTAACGTTAGCTTGTGATAAGTTGAATGAGGGTAAAGATCATCAGACCTTCTGTAAAGATGTCAGACCTGCTGGGTTACCTAACACATTGGCCAGAAAAGAAATGTTAGTGTTGTTCGTTTCCGAACAAAAAGAAACATTCCTTACAACATGTTTCATATCACCCTCGAATGACATTTGCAGAAACGCACATTGACATTTGGTCAGTGTGAAACGATTGATTAGGTTTAGTTGTCAAAACTAGTTGGTTTAAGGTTAGAAAAAAAATCACGGTTTCTGTTAAATAACGACGTACAAACGTAACGTAACAACCGCCCTGAGCAGACTTCCTCACAAGACCAGCGGCCTCCTGGGTGAAGAGACATACGCCTCCACTCCCACTTTGTATATTATTAATACACTGGCGGAACTCCTAAGCTCAAAATGTGATGTCAGTCCGTTCTTCTCAGTGCTTGAACTTCTTTTGAATTTTCAACTCCTATAAACACTTTCACTGCAACTGATCACTTTAGCGCTTAAACTTAAATTCACACTTCAACTATATTCAGTGCTCAGACTTAAACTGAAACTTATTATAAACAGTTTATTTCAGCACCCTTACTTTAACTTCCACTTCAAATTCTGTCACTGTGACTTCACTTTAACTGTAGCACAACTTCCACTTCAAGTCATTTCAACATTTCAACTATGTCTTAGGCTTTTTGCTGCGAGCAAGCCTATTGTTTTGTTTTACTGCCTATAGTCTGTAGTATTTCCAGGAAATTAATGTTTAACAATCAAGTAAATAAATAAATATACACTTACTTTGAGTCCTCTCAGCAGCTGGTAGAACAGGTATGTGATGATGCAATCAGTTAATCTCCGCTTCTTCATAATGTGGCCCAGATCCTGGGCTACTAATGGCATTACCATGTAACTGGGGAGAGAGAGGGAAGGAAAGCATTGAAAGACAAAATTAACAAATAGGTAAGGGGACATAAAGTGGGCCTGAATACTGTCCATGACAACAGTACATCGTCATGTTGAGGAAATGCACAAACCAACCAAAGCAAACGTGAATAAGCTTGGTCTCACACATCCTTGCTTGAACTTTTCAAACATGCGCACACATGCACACGGGGTTCTCAACAGGCTGCGACAGCGAGCAGAAGAATGTGCTTCCCGAATCCCGACTCACAAGGTTTGGAATTTCTCCAGCGAGGGGTCCGGTGTGAAGACGTCGAGGAGGCAGATCACCTTTAAGAAAAAAACCAGTGATACCATATGTCTGTTATTACACAAATCTATAGAAAGGCTTGCACACATTAGTCAAGAGTTCCCATCCAGTGCAGAGTTCGTAACATTGCACAACCCTGGAGTAACACCTGGTGTAAATGTCATGTTTACAGTGCTGATGTTTTCGTGGCTCCTGCAGCTCTGTTTCTAAGGTATCACAGTCACTTTTATGTTTCTGTCATGTATTATCCAGAGATTGCTTGTAAAGAATTCATGCATCCGGGCACTGATGCCATCGTTCTTGAAATTTCTGTTTTTGAAGTTTGGGCTCATGCATGCAACGGTTCTGAAAATTGATGCTAATGCTGAAGTGCCTAAAACTTGAATTCTCACTCATGGCCAGCAGGGGGACAACTCCTCTGGTTGTATAGAAGTCTATGAGAAAATGACTCTACTTCTCTCTTGATTTATTACCTCAGTAAACATTGTAAACATGAGTTTATGGTCTCAATCTCTAGTCTTCTTCAATACAGCATGATGTTCATTTAGTAAATGATGGTCCATTTAGAGTCAAATAGACCATTAAGCAGGGTGTGCTTTAGGGCGGGGCTACCTGGTGATTGACAGGTCACTAACTTTAACCCTTCCGCAGTGTTTTCAGATAACGAAAGTTAATTTCCGGATCACCTGAAAATGCCTTTTTCCGTGTTTGGCTGTACTTGTGTCAATTCTGGTTCCGAAAAACCAAGATGGCCACGGCAAGAATACCGAATTTGTTATATACAATCAATGGAGTGTTGCTAAAAAGTTAGCTTCTCTATCTATTCTAAAAACAAACAAAAAAACTAAAACTGGTAACGCATGATACAAAATGAATCAAAATTCTCCACTTGATAAACAAAACACAAAACTTCCAAAACCCTTCCAAAGATTATCCCAGTAAAAGGAGGTCATGTAGTGCATAAAGTTCCTCAAAGGTTTTCAGCGAAAACACTGAATCATGAGGGTTCCAACAATACACAACACTCCCAGCTTGTCAGGGGGCATTAATGAGATTAAGGGCTCTTGTTGAATGGTCAACACAGTTTGCTTATCCTCCCTGGTTGAGTAAGGACTGAACAAATACAATAGGATCACAACTCCTTGTCTCAACAAAAAGAGTACCTTTGGCCGGCTATTGTACTGGATTGTATCACATCAATTAAATTCTCATGTTGTTGTGTCCAGCCACTAATTTAAGAAGAAACTCGAAGTTCCTACATTTTCATGCTGTATGTGTCGGAGCAGCCTGAGTTCCCTGTAGGCCCGTTTGGTGTGGATGAGGGACTGGAACGGACGATACAACTTCTTGATGGCCACCTTCTCCTTGGTCTTCTGGTCCATGGCAGAACTAAGAGAACACAGTGTAAAGGGCATGACACACACAGTGATTCATAATCCAGGGCTCCAAATAATAACCATCGGCATAGAGTAGTTTTTTGTTAATTTGTAAAAAAAATTGATGAATCGTTTCGTCTATAAAATGTCGGAAAATGCCCATCACAAACTCCCAGTGACCTCAAGATATTCAATTTTTGAATCATGTAAACAGAAAATAAATCTGCATAAAATCTGCACTTTTTTTTGCTAAATGACACAAATGATTAATCTGTTATCAAAACGTGTGCAATCATTCTCACTTCTCTGGCGGCTCCATTGATTGACTCGTCATTTCAGCTCCACTGTAATGGTGTAGAAATGAGTTCCCTTTCTATTTGTTTCCCATCAAGACATTTGAAGTTTCCGTTGTGGTTTATGGGGTGAAATAAAACACATCTTGGATGTGCTCTGGTGTCATTTGAAAAATGATTTGTGCTCCTTATATCTCTACTACATAGTAATATCTGAAATAAAACTTTCAAATGACTCAGGGCTGATGTCCCCTCTGTTATCTGGCAGCCCCCGTCCCTTAAAGTCAGTGATAAGATCTCCTCTGTCAGTGGCTTATCATTAGATAGAATGTCTGACGTATCCTGGATTCCTGGCTGGGTGTCTCCGCTTCGGTGGAGGAGATTCCTGTCGTATCGGAGGACCTGCATCGACTTGCTGACTTGCCTCGGGCGGACAATAGTGCTTCTGTTAGCAGATGTCAGGGTAATCTGGGACTCTCGGACTGTCTGGGAGCGGAATGCATACTTGAGGCTTAAATAGCCGACATGTAGAAAACCATGCGATGCCAAGTATTGAAACACTGATAGTGGACAACAAAAAGTGTTTGTACTGTAATAATGACTTATGTGTGTTGGAGGTGGGTCACTGCAACTTTAAATGCCTTATGTGTTTTATTATGTAAAGTAAAACATTTTAATGTCCATATGGGGGATAGTTATTATACCTATAGGATGGAATTCATTGTGAGTAACATTATTATTATATCCAGTATGTTATGACTTCAGTCATGGATGCTTATTAGACCAAAAGATTCAAGCACCTTGCACATTTCTGTCCACAAAAAAGTACTTTCTTTCCTTGTTAGAATAGCCGAAGTCATGCAGCCCCCCTCCTCCGGGCAAACTCACCAAACTGTCCCGTAAGCTCCGGAGCCGATCGGCCGCAGCGCCGCGTACCTCTCCGGGACGTCCCACGTCGTTTTCTGGACCTCCTGTCTGAGGAAGCCCGGTCTGACGGGGGAATCCTTCAGGGGAGACTCCATGGCGCTGGCTCGTTTCCCAGGGTATGGGTTTTCAAGCAATAGAAAGCGTTATATTTGTAAGAGCTTTGAGAGTTTCAACCTGGCAGGTGAGAGGGCTCGCGGTGTAAAAAAAACAAAAAACAAAAGGTAAGAAGGTAAGCGCTCGGAAACGCCCCCTGTTCCTCCACTGCCCTGCCCACTCGGGTCGTCACATGGTTGAGCTGTCATTCCCACACTGAGGACAGTGAAATGTATCTGCCGTCCGAAACATGCCGACAGATGTGCTGCGTTAAATAAACTCGAAGCCATTCGAATAGGGCATAAATAACAAGAATATATAGCGTGGCGCAAACACAACGCGTGCGGGAATTACAGTAATTCTACAAAAAGTGCAATATTGATGAGTGAGGAAAACAATTTTTTTATTGTGTGCTTTTGGTTACTGACTGAATCACCGGACTAGTTCATGGAAGAATAACACGGTTCAAAGCGGACTGCATGTTAATTATTTGATTTGTTCAAATAACTGTTATTCATTCTAAAATATGTATCTAAAACTTTTTGTTTGTGTTCATGATGTTCATATTTTTTGTTGAGGTTGTTGGGAATATGTAAATACAAGTATATGCTTATTTAGTCGGTTGCGTACATTATATCCTGTATTAATAAAGTGGCTTCAAGTGATCTGTTATGTTTTCAAAGGATCCTTTTGGGTGAACCAAACCGACCACAGACCAGCAGAGGGCAGACGCATGTCATTCTGGTGGGCTAGACAAGGAGGGGAGTCCCGACTCTTAAGTCATTGTTCATTTTCATCTCGGAGGATTTCAAAACCATGATTTAAATCATAAAATATATATATATATATATATATATATAGTATATATATATATATAGTATATGGGTATATTGACTATCAATCTATACAAAGAGTTGTTATCAGAACATACAGTGTGCTGTATATAATTGACTGGTATGGTCAAACAAACAAACAAACAAATCTATACTGGGGGCTGGGAATCAGAAATACTGTTAACCTGTCAGCGTGCACACATCCACATTACTATGTGGTGTTTGGTGGAAAAGCACTTTACAGTGTGAACAGGATCACTGAACCAACACATCATATTATATTTCAAATGAGTTTTAATTACGTTCATGTTTCCACAATCAATCCAGAGTGCCATTGGCAAACTGGGGCTTACTGTCTGAACCGGTCTCACCGCGCAAAACTACAGTGTCAAGCCGACAGAGGCATGGCGACACTTCTGAATAGCATTTTCAAAATAAAACTTTTATGGCGTAGTCCAGTACAGTAAGGATACAAATTGATGAAGACACAAACTGAGAGGACATACTTTAAAGCCAGAAGTATTGCAGAACTCAAACTTATTTTTGTAGGCTTCTTTACATGTGTTTGAGTTGTTGTTATCGGGGAATGATATGATGTACCCAGATTGGTTTACTTCACTAAAAATAGCAATACTACAATGTAGAAATACCTTGTCAGAATGTATTCTAAATTTTATGAGTGAAAGGTATTTTAAAGTAAAAAAGAAAAGAAAAAAAGGAACGTACTTATGTATTGCAAGGATCACTTAATGTTGCACTGATGTTGCAGCTGGTGAAGGTGGGGCTAATTGTAATCCATACTAATATTTAACAATTTATTAAAGGGGCAGTGTGTAGCATTTAAGGAGACATATTGGCAGCGATGGAATTCAATATTAATAAGTAGGCTGTGTTTTCTTCAGTGTATAAATCACCGGAAAATAATTGTTGTATTTTCGTAAGAATGACTTCTCTGTGGTCGCCATTTTGAAGCCTGAAAGTTTGGCATTTTGCCCGCGAATTATTTACCTCTCAGTTGCGCTTTAGGGCAGCCCTTAATTATATATACTTGTACTTTTACATATTTTCCTTTTCGGGCTTTATTTTGAAGGCGACCCAATGACATTTCCTGTCCCACCCTTTCTGACTCCGTGTATCTTGTCTCCGCTGTCCGCTGCCTCTCTGACTGTTGTTGAAGCCTCTCAGATGCTGAGACCTGCCCGTCCTGAGCGTGAGCTGCGGCCGAACAACCGACTCTGGTTCTGACACACACACACACACACACGCGCACGCACACACACACAGTTTGTGGACTCGGAGTTTGTTTCTACTTCTACAGCGGTGACTTCACATAACTGCGCCGCATTTTTTTTGAGGGAATAACCAAACAGTGTGTCGTGAAGTAACAAGCTGGACTTCATCAGGTACATCGTGCTCGTTGGCTAGCGTGGATGCGAGGCTCGGTTCCAATCAAGGCCATGGACGGCTGATTCACACGTCTCCACTGACCCAACAGGTACGTCCAATGCCATCATTTGTTCAAATGGAAAACAAAAAAACGAGAGGATGTTTGGTTCGCGGTAAAAAACAAAACAAAAACTCTTCAAAGCATCAGTTTTACTTGTTGAAGACAATAACTTAATGTCGGCTGGCTCGGCTCGCCGCTTGCTAGTATGCTGCAGGGTGTTACATTCAGAAGTCCCATTATCATCATGAAGTGTTTCATTAGTCTCAAAATGGAGGGTGCAGAAAGTGTGAAAGCACTTGTTTTTGTTTTTTACACCCAAACACCAGACGAGCATACACTCGGACTAGACTGTTCAATACAATGGGTATACATAGCTTTGGACTGTGGTGAGCACTGGGCTTCACGCCACACACGCATGCACGCACACTTGCATGCACGCATACATGTGCACTTGCACAAACATAGACGCACATGCACACAAACGCACATCACACACACACACCAACCATGCACACGCTCTTTTGTCAGCTGATGTAGGAATGTGTGTTAGCCAAATGCCTTGTTCACCTGCTAGCATTCTGCTGGACGGACACACACACACACACACGCGCAGCTGCCTGTTTATTGCTTCACTTATAAAACACAGAGGATGTGCTTTGACAATGTTCATTGAACTTGACACGAGTTCAGCGGCTTTTTAGATGTGTGATTAGTTTTCTGGAATTCCATGTCATTGGTGGGTTATGATGATGATGATGATGACGATGATGGGCAATGATGGAGTTGGGGCTCTTCGGTCACTCGTTTTAGTTGGCAAAGCATCGCAGCCGGTCACCCGTAGACGTTACCGATGTGTGGGTGCATGCTGGATTTTATTGCGGGAAAGAGACGGCGGCTTAGAATGTGATCAAAGCCTCTTCGAATATCAACTCCCCTTGTCGTGAAGCAGTCGCTGTTTGAGTGAAGGAGGCTTATGAGGCACATTTCATACACAACCTTTTGTCAAGATTCTTTCGGTTGTGTTAAAACCCTTAAACTTCATTCCACTCTTTTCTCTGCTTTTTGTGGATTTTTGTGCTCGGGGTCCCGGCATCCAGACGTCTTTGAATGACTGGCCATCTGCTTGCTAAGGGTCTGCTCCAGACACGCGGTATCACGTTACCCCCACTTGACTGTGTGTGTGTGTGTGTGTGTGTGTGTGTGTGTGTGGTGGTGGAGGGGGGGTTATGAAAGTGTTATGGCGTTAACAGAGACGACTGTGTGTGGAGAAGTTCGATTGTTCGCAGACGAACACAACTGAGCACATGAATAAATCATATTGTGTGTGAACTAAGTGAAATGCATCGTGTCTTTCCCAATCAGCTGGCAGAACGCAGCTTCCTTTCTTTATCCAATCACAGCAGCCACGTGACGTTAGTCATGTTCACTGTCCAGGACTTTACTTTACAACAGGGGCATTTCTAGGTTTCAAAGAAACGGGGTGCACATTTTTTTTTTGGGGCCGCGAAAATCCATTGTTTCAGACAGTTCATAGATTGGTTCAATGAGAAAGAGTATGATTTTGCTCTGTAGTTTTGCTTGCATTCAGTATATAATAACACACGAGACAGAATTTCAGGGTCATTGTGAAATTTGACAACACAAATATGAACTTTTCTCAAATAAAGAGAGAGAAATAATTTTCCTGCTTGTAAAGGAAAGACGGATAAACTAGCTTTTATATCCGCGTCACTCCCAAATCCTAATTCTTAAAGGGATAGCCACATTCTGTAACTACCTGTACTTACAATTTCACTCCATGCATCATTTACTTTGAGCTAAACTCCTTGGCTATAATCCTGGCTGTCGTTGACGAGAGGGATTACTTGGCAGAGTGAGAAAGCCAGCGCAGCAGCCTCCCCAAGGTCCTAGTGCCCGGGGTTTATATCGTTAAGTATGATGATAGGCTATTGGATTGTAATTTGAAGGGGGAGAAAACATACAAACCAGAACGCACACACATAACATGTTAGAGTTATAAATAACTTGTCCATGTGAGAAACAATCGTTTAATTTAATGACATCACCAAAATAAAAATAAAAAAAAGATTTTTTTTTTTTAAAGCCAATAATGCCAAATTATTTGGGGGGGCTGAAGAACATTTTAGGGGGGCTTCAGCCTCAACAACTGCGATTGGCCCGCTTGGTGGTCGCTCTTGGGCATGAAGGTGACCGTCGCTTGTTTTCCGTCCGTGCTCCAAACACGGTTCAGTTCTAAAAGTAAATGAGGTATTTTTCTGTAAAAGTGCAGCAATGCATTTCATCTTAAAGCTCTACAACATCTGTCTCTTTGCTAAAGAAAGATTATTTCCATGACACTTCCCCCCCCCCCAATTCGTTTCATCTGAATGCCACAGTTCCTCTGAGTTGATTGGAGGTTTATTCAGACCACCTGTCGGCTCCGAATGAGAGCAGCTCGGTGCATTTCCCCTCCTGACCAGTCAGGGAGTGACGGCGCTCTTTCTTTTAGGGCTTAAGAGAGGTGGGGACCCGCACACCCGGGGCATTCTGGTCCTTCCTCGACTTAATGCAGACCTCATTGCAGCAGAATCAGCCAGAAACTCTGCTCTTCAGGCCCCTTGAGACGTCTTTGCTGTGTTAACCTTTTTCTGCTTGAGTGTGAGGTTTGAAACTCAGCTGGAGTGAATATTAAAGAACACCTTTCCTCTCGATTTCCTGCATCAGAGCAGACATCCGTGCTATTCCTGCAAGAGTTTGTGTTTGTCTAACGATTACCTAACATGCAGGATTTATTTTGTTTCTTTTCATTGAAA